ACCTTTATTAAAACACAATGATGTTTGATATGTTCATTGCAGCCGTGTGGTTCTGGTTTTCAAGGATGATTGACTTTCATTGTGTTAACTATAGTAACATGATGTTTAATATGTTCATTGCAGCCGTGTGGTTCTGGTTTTCAAGGATGATTGACTTTCATTGTGTTAGATAATGTGTTAACTATAGTAACATGATGTTTAATATGTTCATTGCAGCCATGTGGTTCTGGTTTTCAAGGATGATTGACTTTCATTGTGTTAGATAATGTATGAATTATAGTAGCATGATGTTTAATATGTTCATTGCAGCTGTAATGTGTTAACTATAGTAACGAGTGGTTCTGGTTTTCAAGGATGATTGACTTTCATTGTGTTAGTTCATTCCAGCTGTTTATTAAACATCATGTTACTATAGTTAACACATTATCTAACACAATGAAAGTCAATCACATATCATCTATGGAGGTCACAGGACAATATTTATTACATACAGTCTTCTTTAATACATCATGCATAAAGATTAGTTTCTCTTAACAAAAGAAAATGATCAAAATAGATTCTTTATAAACAAAAAAAAGAGGAATAATTTAAAATGAGTTAAATATTTTATTTATTGTGAACTTCCTTTATTCAAATGGCAATTTATACCAATTCACAATTAAAATATTGAGTAATGTGGTCAAATTTCCATTATATTTTATAACTGCATACGACACTGAATATTCAAAAATATATAAAGTCTGAGAAATTAAAACCTAAAACTCTTACCAAACTTGCTTCAGAATGTGAAACCAACAAGACGGCATGTTTACGGCTGATTGACAGGTCATTCAGTATCAACAGGTCAGTACCCTTACGTCCAACAGTGTGGACCTTTCCAACAAACAGCCTATAACAGGTACCTATGAAATAAGTCACTATTAGCAATATTTCTATTTGATAACCCTTTCAACAAACATAATGATTTACAATTAAGAGGATGAAGAATGTTATTCTCCTATATAAAAGAATATTTGAAATACAATTAAGTTTGTTTTTAATTGTTTTAGGCTTTATAAAAATTCTTGGCCTATTGGGACAATCTCAACGAAAATGTGTATGTAAATAATAGGGACAATAGGGAATGTCCTAAGGTGGTCAAAATTGAACTTAACCCTATTTCTATTTTGTAAAGCCTATTGGTTCAATACTCCCAGCCCATTAAGTCAATCTTAAACAATCTTGGCAGGTTGATGCTTTAGGCAATGTTGAATATTCTAAAGGGATTCAAGGTCAAAGTATGAAAGTTGCTGGATTGTTTCTCAAACAACCATGCTTTTCTCATACTTAATGAGATGTAAGGTGTTCAATTAAGGGTGGAATCACCTCTAAATCTTTATTTGTTAGTAGATAGACAGCAAACCGCAAATGTTGTTTATGAAGAACTTTGTTATAGTTTTAAACTTTTGAGATAAAGTTTATGTTCAAGTTATTAATTTGAAATATTAGATAGTGTAGCCAGGTTGCCACTTTCTCATCTGCAGTTTCCCATCTCTGGACAAAAATACCATCTTGAAGCTTCAAATGGTCCCACTGTGCCCAATAGTTTTTTGTCACAGGGCTT